CCTGAGGATTCCACCACCACGAGGATCCTACCACAGGCAGGATCCACCAGGATGAGGATCTCACCACAATGAGGGTCCCATCACAACGAGGACCATCCACCCTGCTGGTGGCCACCAACCCTCAGTGTCCAGAGCCTGTCGTGATGGTGGCCACCACCCCTCAATGTCCTGATCCTGCCCTGCTGGTGGCCACCAACCCTCCCTGCCCCTCTCTGCTCGTGCCCCCCGGACCCTGCGGGATCCCCACCCCACGCCAGGAGCGAACCCCGCGTTCCCTCCCCGTGTTTATCCCGCAGGATTTTCCCCGCAGCCCCGCAGGGAAGGAACAAACCCTCAGGGAAGGGAGCGGCACTTACAGGACGGGCTGAACATCACCGAGATCTCCAGCCCCGAGAGCATCCAGAGAGTTCCGCTGCCGGGAAGCCGCGGCTCCGCATCCCACATTCACTTCTGCTTCATCCCTGCCTCCCACCTCATCCTCGGAGCGGCATCCGAGCCGCGTCAGGCACAACCGAGGCCACGGAAAAGTTTCTCAGAATTGACTCATCCCGTCCCGGAGCGCTCCGGGATTATTTCATCCCCGCACAACCGAGGTGAGGAGTTGGGGGGGGGGTCTCAAAATCCGCAGCCGAGCTGGGCTGTGCCCACTCCGACCCTTCGGAGCCACCCTGGGCCAGTGGCAGCAGCAGCCGCTCGCCTCTGGTGCTCACGCCGAGGTCCCTGAGCTCATGACTGAGCAACGCCGGCGAGCCAAGAATAGAGAGAGAGCTTGAAGTGAAACCTCCCGGGATTGGCAGCTATTTCGGGCGCGCTCAGCCGCCGGGGCTGCGTGACATAAGAGGATATAAAAGAGGAAACTCTGCACAACAACTCTCACCTCGCCGAGACACACTCGGGGAGAAGCAGGTAGGGCTACCTTAGGGCGAGCTCAACGCTGTGACGGCCACCGAGGCCACCCCTGCTCCTCCCGACCTCAAATTCTCGGCACATCGGGACTCCCCCCACCACCCCAGGACCAAAAATCCCCGAGCATGGCCGGGGTTGAACCCTGGTAGTGCAGAGCTGCAGCCCAGTAGCCCAGTGTGGCTTCTCCGTGCTGGGATGTGGCCAAACCCCAACGCAAACCCGGCTCAGCCCACGTGGAGCTGAGCCTGTCGCCACAGGTTCAGCCTGCCCAGGCACCTCCGAGGAGCAGGAATGGCTGAGATCCCGCTGGAATTGCAGAAATTCTGCTGGAATCGCAGAGATCCCGCTGGAATCGCAGAGATCCCGCTGGAATCGCAGAGATCCCGCTGGAATCGCTGAGATCCCGCTGGAATCGCAGAGATTCTGCTGTGGCCAAGGGAGCCTCAAAGGGAGCCAACAGCATCGAGGCAACCAGAGCACCCTCAAAACCCAAAGTCTAAAACCCAAAATCCAAAATCCAAAGCCCAAAGTCCAAAACTCGAAGTCCAAAGCTCAAAACTCCAAGTCCAAAACCCAAAGCCCAAAGCTCAAAATCCAAAACCCAAAATCCAAAGTCCAAACCCCAAAGCCCAGCTTTGCCCCAGCAGCCTCTCACAGCTCCAAGCTCAGCCCAGCCCTGGAAGGAAAGGCTGGGATTGCACCCAGCCACCAGATGTGGGGAGGAAAGATCTGCTCCTGGTTAACAACCAGCATCAAAACTAACATTTAAATTTAAATTTAAATGGCAATTCTGGAATTGCATTTGATTTGAACCCTTAGATACTGGGAAAACAAATGCAATTTGCAGTTTCTGGAGATCAAAGTCAGCACCTGAAACCAGTCCCTGCCAGCTCACAGCGTGTCCACCCTGTCAGCAGCTGCATTTGAATACTCGTGATGCCAGCGTGCTCTGCCTGCTCACTCACAGCCCAGAAATTTGCTTTCTCCTGGGTTTTTGGGCAGGACTAAGTCACCAGCAGGGTTAATTAGGAGGAAATTCCTCCCTGTGAGGGTGGGGAGCCCCAGAGAAGCTGTGGGTGCCTCTGGATCCCTGGAAGTGTCCAAGGCCAGGTTGGGCAGGGTTTGGAGTAACCTGGGACAGGGGAAAGTGTCCCTGCCATGGCAGGGGTGGCACTGGATGGGATTGAAGGTCCCTTCCCACCCAAACCATCCCATAATTCCATGAAACAACAGAATTTCCCAAACAGCTTCGTCTGTTTAAAAACACCCCCACCCCCCCAAAAATTTACCCAGGGGGGGACAGGGCACCTCTGATCCCATCCCCCATGCAGACAGTGACACCCAGCTGAGGCCTCCCAGTTAAACCCCGACTCCAAAGGCTGCATGAACCATCCCAGGGCACAGATCTGCTGCATGGGCAGTTCCATTATCCCAGCACTGCTGTCCCCGTGCCAGCAGGTGACACGAGCCAGACAAACCCTGCCATTGTCCCTCGGCACGGGGACCCTCCCTGGGGCGCTGCCACCTCTGCTCTGCCACCACCACAGCACAGAGGGGCTGGTGCAGCCTCGGAAGGAGGAAAAGGACGAGGCAGGGCTGATCCTGAGCTCGGCAGAAGCTCCTGCATCCAGAAATTCTGTGGTGACTCCATTGTGGGACAGCCAGGAGCCAACGCCAGGCCAAGAGCAGAGCTCCAAAAGTGACACACAGGGGGACAGGAAGGACACGGCAAAAGCTGGGAGTGAGCAAGGAGGGAGCAGGGACAGCTCTGCTGGGAATATTCCCACTCAGGATAACCCCAAACAGGCTCCCCAGAATTGCTGAAGGCAGCTGGATGGAGCAAAGAGGCCGAGGCAGGAGCAGAACAGACAATTTCCATGTGGAAGTTGCAGCCCCAGGCTGTGTGTGAAAGTTCTCATCAGTGCATCGAGCCCCGGGCAAACCTGGGGAATTCACATCAGCCTCGAAGTTCAGGAAAGCACAAAGGATGAAAGAAATGGAGAGAGCAATCCCGGCTGTGTCTCCAGCACTGCGAGGAAGTTCTCCACATTTTCTATGCTGCCCGAGGCTCCCTTTACGCAACAGCACCTTGTGAAAAACCAGCCTCAGCATCAACAGCTTTCCCCTCCCTCGAATGAGGGATCCTCCTTTCATCGGGATCCTCCTCCCATTGGACGCAACAGCACCTTGTGAAAAACCAGCCTCAGCATCAACAGCTTTCCCCTCCCTCGAATGAGGGATCCTCCTTCCATCGGGATCCTCCTCCCGTCGGGATCCTTCCTTCATCGGGATCCTCCTTCCATCGGGATCCTCCTCCCTTCATCGGGATCCTCCTCCCTTCATCGGGATCCTCCTCCCTTCATCGGGATCCTCCTCCCTTCATCGGGATCCTCTTCCCTTCATCGGGATTCTCCTTCCATCGCGATCCTCCTTCGTTCATGGATCCTCCTCCCATCGGGATTCTCCTCCCATCGGGATTCTCCTTCCATCGGGATCCTCCTTCGTTCATGGATCCTCCTCCCATCGGGATTCTCCTTCCCTGAAGGCTCAAGAGCATCCCCAGAGAACTGATCCCAGCACCACATCCTGGGAGAACTCCCCTGGAAAACTCCCTGGAGCTGAATTCACTTCCAGCACTCCAGGATGCTCCAGAGGCTCCCGGCACACTCTGCTTTCTTTCAGAGCAGCGAACGGCCCAAGTGAAACAGAGGAGAACCCAGGGAAACGCTGGGAGGACGTTTTGGGGTGACAGGGACACCCCACAGATGTAAAAATTCTCTCCACGAAGAGAAACGAGGCTCTCCCGGAGAGCAGTGGGAGCCTCCCGCAGTTCCCAGCTCTTCCCCCGGCTCCTGCACCTCTGTCCCTCTGTTCCCACCTCTGTTCCCACTTTTCCAGCCCTGAGCCCAGCTCCCAGCTCAGCAGGGTTTGTTTTGCCCTGGTGTGAGCCGTGTTTTGATCCAGCTCTGCAAATGCAGCCCTGGGCAAGAGCCAGCTCTGCCCTGGCAGCGCTCCTGCTCCTGGATCCCAACAGCTCCTGGGATAAATCCCGAGGGATCCGGGTGTGGGGGGCGGCCCCGAGGAAAACCCCACAAACCCCATCCCGATTCTTCTTCCTGCACACCACACTTGGCCTTGAGACTGAAGTTTTTAGGTTGAGGAGACACGAACCCAAAGGTGGGGAGGGGTCAGATGTGGCCCCGGGGCCGGGACCTCCATGGAGACCCACCCGGGGATGTCCCCTCCCTGCTGGGGTGACAGCACGGCACTGACTCAAGGCTCTTTCCTCAGCATCCTCGGGTATTGCCCAAGAGGTGACAGGGATGGTGACGGTGACAGGGATGGTGACAGTGACGGTGCAGAGATCCTGCTGTGGCCAAGGAAGCCTCAAAGGGAGCCAAAGCACCGAGGCAACCAGAGCATCCCCAAAACCCAAAGTCCAAAATCCAAAACCCAAAGCCCAAAGTTCAAAATTCAAAATCCAAAACCCAAAACGCAGTCGAAAGCTCAAAGCCCAAAGTCTAAAACCCAAAATCCGAAGCCCAAAACCCAAAGTTTAAAACCCCACAGCCCAAAATCCAAAACCCAAAACTCAAAACCCCAAATCCAAAGCCCAAAACCCCAAAACCCACAGCTCAAAGCCCCACGGCTCTGCCACTTCAATCCCTCCTCCAGCCCCGCTCCCCCTCCAAGGTGAGGCTGGGAAATCTCCAAACTCACTCCAACAGGCACTTGGGCTCTGTTTGCTATTTTTAGTGCGACAAAAGGCTGGGCCAGTGCCACCCAAGCCTCCCAAACTCTGCCCAAACTCAAACCCGAGCGGCCGAATCCTGCTCGGAGCTGCCGGAATTCGGCGCATTCATTCAGAGTTAGCAACTGCTGCTATATCGGGAAGGCAGCTCCGAGGGAAGGCAGAGCTCTCCAGGACAGAGAAAGAAAACAAATCCCTCGCCTGCAGTCTGCTTCTCCTAAATTTCCTTGGCTCGGCTTAACAAAACCCGGGTTTTTCTGCTAAAAAAAAAAAACAAAATTTCGCAGCCCTGCACGCCCCTGAACTCTGGAAGCTTCATGACTCCATCACATCAAACAGCAAATGTGGCAACTCACAGCTTCCCTGAGCGACAGGATCGTCCCGAACAAAGCCGGGCACTGCCCTGCCCGTCGGGAAAGGAACCTGGAGCAGAGCAGGAGGCGAGCGTGGGGTGACCAGAAACAAACCCGGACTGCGAAGGCACCAACAAAGGCGGGGAAACATCCCGGGGCTGCGGGGCTGCTCCCAACGGAGCTTCCCCAGGGATTTTTAGGGCACTCAGAGGCGCAGAAAAGGACCAGGACCAGGTCGGGCAGGAGCCAGAACTGCTGTCACAGAGCCCCCCCAGCCTGACACGAAGCCACTGAGGGCGGGCAGGACACTCGGACGTGTCCGTGTGTCCCCTCCCCAGCCCGGCAGGGACGCGGGAGGCAGCAGAGGAGCTGTTTTTAATGGGGAGAGCCCGAACGGGACGGATGCATTCCTGCCCTGGGGGAGCATAGCAAGGCAATGAGACACAGACAGCGGGCGAGCACTCCAGGACTGACTCACCTCCCTCCTGAGCTGTCCCGGAGAGCAGCGACGGGGCTGGATGCAGATCAAAAGGTAATAAATCAGATCAGAACAA